TGGTTCCCAAAACCTTATAAGTTTCAGGTGATGTCAAACCATCTTGGAATGCCGATATATTTCAAGGACTTGATTGATCCAATTACGAAGACATGGAGGAGTGAGGAGGTGAAGGTGAAGGTTTAATGTGGAGGAATCACAGGCTATTTTATCTATGCCCGTGAGTCACCGGGGCTGCCCAGATAAATTGATATGGCACTTTACCAAGCCAGGTGACTATACGGTTAAATCAGGCTATCAACTTGCAGTGAACCTCCAACGGAATGGCGAGCTTGGGTGGAAAGGCGAAGGAGAGAGTAGTAATGACTCCAAGAAAAATGTGTTTTGGAAAGGAATTTGGAGTTTAAAAGTGCCACCAAAATTACGATCTTCCATGTGGAGTCGTGACAACCTATGTCGTCGGCATATGACGGTGGACAATAAATGTGGGATTTGCAACAAGGATGGTGAGTCTCAGTTGCATTTGTTTTTTCAATGTGAGTTTGCACATGCCTTGTGGTATGCTTGCCCTCAGCAACTGGATACTACTACTATAGTGGTATCGATTTTGCTTCATGCTGGGCTTATCTTGAGGAAAAATATAAAACTGGTGCACAATCGTGGGAGATACTACAGATTTTGATCTATGGCCAGTGGCGAATCTAGAAATGCCGTAATGAGGCGATATTCTAAGGAAAGGAGGCCAATCCCTACGCTGCAATTGCACTGATGGTGGGGCAAATGGAGGAATATCGTATAGCGGTTCCAATTCAGGCTCTCCTTGTGAGTGAAATACCGAGACCTCCCGATCTGTGTAAGGTTGCACAGACCTTATGGAAAAAACCCAAGCACGGAATGGTCAAAGCAAATTGTGATGGCGCCTGGTTTGAGCAAACAATGTGGGGAGGTTTTGGATGGGTGATTCGGGACTTTACAGGTTGGATGATGCAAGCGGGTGGTCAAGGAGATATGCTTTATGGGTTGACTCTCATGGCAAAGATGGACGCTATAAGGCCAGTTCTATTTGTTTGTCAACAAGGGGGTTTCTCTTGGGTGGTGGTGGAGTCTGATTCCCAAGTTGCCATCAAGATGGTGAAGGGGGAAAAGGGCGGTGGCTATGGAGGTAGATAGTATTCTCTTCGACATCTAGACTGCGATTCTAGAATTCCAGGAAGTAATTTTTATTTTTGTACCTTGCAACTGCAACAAAGCTTCTTATGAGGTTGAAACTTTTGCTTGTAGGGTAGGTGGTAGTTACTATTGGGATTTTGTACCTCCAGATTGGTTGTTTAATACCTTAGCTGGAGATGCTAATGTTCGTGTTCGCCTTTAATAAAAGTATTTGATTCTTGGAAAAAAAAAATATATGAAGCTGACAGTTTATTCAATTCATTGATACATGAACTTATTAAATCAGATAATATGAAAAGACTCAACATAATAGCATATTGAAACTTCTTGAATGCAATAATGATGCATATTTGTTTTAATTCTCCAACAATGCCTCCCGTAAACCAAACTTGCTTCTAACTCCCAATCTTGCAACATCTCTTTTGTAAATTTGTCCACCAAGAGGTTTTGTAAACACATCAGCCATTTGTTCATCTGTCTTGCAATACTTCACATGAATAACACCTTCATTGACAAGCTCCCTCAGAAAATGATAACGAATACGAATGTGCTTCGTTCACCCATGTAAAACTAGATCTTTTGAAACTGAAATTGTTGAACTATTATCACAAAACAAACTTGTGGGACCTTTTTGCTCGTGCTTAAGACTTTCCAAAATTTCTCGTAACCACAGAATCTGACACCTGCATAAGAAGCAGCAATGTATTTTGCTTCCGTTGTAGAGAGAGCCACAATAGGTTGCTTCTTAGAACTCCAAGAAAAAATACCACTTCCAATATTAAAAACGTAACCGGAAGTACTTTTGTAATCATCAACACTTCCTGCCAAGTCACTATCAGTATAACCAAGAAGATTAATAGGAATATTTGCTTCATAGAAAATACCATAATCAACGGTCGCTTTGACATATCGCAAAATTCTCTTTGCAGCCTCTCAATGATTGGAATATGGCTTTTCCATAAATCTGCTCACCAAACTTACTGAAGACATGATGTTTGGCCTTGTGGCAGTCAAATACATCAGATTTCCAACCAAACTTCGAAACATTATAGAGTTCACAAGTTTTCCTTCACCATCTTTGCTCAATTTTAAGCCTGTAACACATGGAGTTTAGACTGGATTTGCATTCTCCATTCGAAACTTCTTCAAAACTTCCTTCGCATAACTCTCTTGCGAAATGAAAATTCCTTTTTTGGACTGGTGAACTTCTATACCAAGAAAATGATGCAGTTCTCCTAAATCTGTCATCTCAAATTCTCTCATCATGGAGAGCTTGAACTCATTCAACATGTCAATATTATTTCCGGTAAAAATCAGATCATTAATGTAAAGATTTACAATCATGAAACTTCCTTGCGAATTGTTTTTAATATAGAGATTATGCTCATACGGACATTTCTGAAAAACCATTCTTCTCAAAATATGAATTGATGCGGCTATACCAAGCTCTAGGTGACTGCTTAAGACCATATAAGGCCTTTCTCAACTTGAAAACTTTCTTCTCTTCTCCTCTCTTTACATATCCAGGTGGTTGCTCCAAGTAAACTTCTTCATTGAGAACACCATTCAAAAACGCAGACTTCACATCCATTTGAAACACCTTCCAAGTATTTTGCACTGCAAGAGAAATGATTAAACGAACGGTGTCAAGCCTAGAAACAAGAGCAAATACCTCAGTATAATCTTCTCCTTATTTTTGTTTGTATCCCTTCACCACAAGCCTTGCCTTGTATTTATTTATGGACCCATCCGAATTCATCTTTGTTTTGTACACCCATTTCACACTAATAGGATCCTTGTGCTGTGGTAAATCTGTGAGCTCCCATGCATCATTTTTTTCAATGGCTTTTATTTCTTCATCCATAGCTCTCTTCCATTTTTCTTCTTTGGATGCATCATCAAAAGAAATTGGGTCTTCTCCTACAAAGAAAGCAAAATATACAGCTTCATTCTGCAAATTTACATGCTGAGCAGATTCATAAATTTCTTCTGAACTTCTCATCTTTATTGGAGTTTGGGAAGGGCCTTCACTGCCATTTGTTGCTAATCTTGGAGAACTTTGGGAAGAGTCATTGATGGAGTGACAATAATCATCACTGTCATCTTGAAGAGTTGATGCTGCACCATGATCATAAAAATCAGAGTATTCATCAAACGAGCTAACATGGCCCACTTTTTAGGTCAACTGGCTCATAGGGGCCACGACCTCCAACTTGTTATCTGATAGTTCCTATCGTTCCATGGCAATAAGTTAAACTTGCCCTAGGAGCTTCGTCATGATTTGACGGTCAATTCGACCTCATCGTTGGATTTGGTCAACTAAGATTATATAATTAATAAAAACTGCTCAACGGCAATCCAGACATCCTATTCTCAATATGTGAATTCCTACACAATCCGAATAGCATTGGAAAACATAAACTTCAAAACAGGCCCCGTCTGACGATCCGATCCTAACAAACCTGAATATTACATAATAGGGCAACCAAAGCAATTTGCATACAATCTAAGATCCAGGCCTCCTTTTTCTAACCCGTAAGTTCCTACACGACCCTAGAGGTCCAGGGAACGACATATTCTGAAATGAGATTGATCCGACGGTCCGATCATGATGATCCCAAACATCACATAATAGGCCAAATTCAGGTTCGCCGATCAAACTTTGAAATCTTGCGTATCCAAGCATAACGTCGTACTCGGGACTATACGGGAATAGTTCTAGGACTAACATATTCTGAAATATAGATTCTGATTTTTTAAAATTACAATTAATTAATTCTCCCTAACTTGTTATTCTATACAGCCAACACTTTGAAATGCTTGAAGGTGAAATGCCCCGACGAACCACTCACTATATTCAAAAAGTTCACAATGAAACATTTCACGCATGGTTTAAGAACTATGTAAGTACTCTAAGTCATTTGTGGCTAAAGCTAGATACATGAATAGATTAATTGATAATTCTAATTATGTTTCTTTGGTATATGTAGGTGACAACATAGAGAAGAACTTCTAATATATGTGGTGTTTTCTGAAGAAATCATTAGTTTGGCTAATGGTCCTGATGAGTTTGCATGAAAATTTAAGGGATATGTTGTCAATGGTTTTAGATTTCGTACAAAGAAGTTTGAAAAAGATAGAACTACTCAAAATTCTGGTGTTGTTTTGCTTTTGAAGGCAAATACTATGAGTTATGCTAGTGTGAGAGATCAAAATCCTCGATCAGGAGATGTGACATTTCATGCAGTGTTGATAGATGTAGTTGAAATTCGGTACACCAATATCTTGAAATTTGTCTTGTTCAAGTGCGACTAGGTTGATAGTTTTCTGGGAGTTAAAGAGGATGAGTTTCAATTCACACTAGTGAACTTTAATCATTTGTTGTACAAAGATAATGGAATAGGGGACGAGCCTTTCATTTTGGCTCAACAAAGCAAGACAAGTTTGTTATGTACAAGACCCTTTGGATTCCGATTGGAATGTTGTTCTTACGATGACTGTCAAAGATCTATTTGATATGTATTCGAAAGATTCATCTCATACTCCTACAGTGGTACCTCAAGTCGAGCTTTATGCAAAGCCAACAAAAAGAAACTATATATTTGCATGATGAAGATGTTAATTGGGTGCGACAAGGAGTGGAAGGAACTATTGTGGAAACAGATGTTGAGATGTCACTACGACAATTATGTTAAACTACGACACACAATAGACGACCCTTTACATAAAAACCATCGTGGTATTTTAAAAGACGACGGGTGTTATAATACTTTCGTGGTAAGGTACCTAATACACCCATGAGTTGGGTTATTTTAAAATAACGACGCTACCTTATTAGGACCATTGTGTTTTTAGGAGGCGCTAAACAAAAATTTCACCTTCAGTTTGCGAGCGCTGAGCTTTTTAGCAAACCCTCGCTCTCTCAAATTCTCAAATTCTCTCACCTCCTTTCTGAAAACCCGTTCTCTCTCAACTCTCTCTCACATCTATGAAGCGCATATCCCTCGCGCCTTCCACCGAACTCGCCAATATCACCATCTCTGTCGCACCGTTCAGGTCACCGAGCTCTCCAAGATGGCCATCTCCATTGCGCAGTTCAGTCCACCGAGCTCACCGCGTTGGCCATTTCCCTCACACTGCCCATGGCAGCTACCCTTCCTCGTCGAGACCAATTTTAAGCCCCTAACTGGATTCCCATCTTCCATTTTACGAGCTTTAGATTAGATCTTCTTACTCGTAAACCAAAAAGGTACGAAGCTAATTTTCTAGGGTTAGCTTAGGGTTCTTCTGATTTGACTTTAATTTTTATTTTTTCTTGTTTAATATTCTAATTTTGTAATTGTAAGTAAGTTCTTGTTTTCAATGCAACTTATATTTTTATGATTTGATCATCTTAGTTTTTGTTGTTAATTGGATTGGTGGGTGTGGTAAATATTCATTCTTTATGTGAATTGAGTCTCTGTTTTGTACTGCCAAGTTGGTTAATTAGATTGAATTGGGCCATTAGCCTTTTGATGGGTATTCATATTTCAAGTGATGAAATTTCAAATTCAAGTACAGTTCTTTCTTTTATCATTTTGCTTATAATCTGGCTTTTTTTGGGTCATTTGTTAGAGTCGTTGTTATTAGTGATCTTGTATTGGAATTCTGGATATGGGTTGTTTCAGTTTTCTTGTTTACTTGGATTTGCTAGCTTCTTGGTCAGGTGTTTTGATCTGCTAAGAGAAATCGATTACTCCCTATTGCTACGTGTTTGTGCTTTTTTATGGCATTGACCCTTAAAAGTTTCTGCCGCCTTGGGATGCAGATTGGTAGCTTTTAATGGAAGTATTGGCTTGGATTTTGTTTCTTGATATATGAGTAATAACGTCTTATCATGTTCATTAATATTGGTTTGATATGCATGCTAACGATTCATTAGATATCAAATTTTCTATTAGAAAGGGGGTTTCTATGAGAAATGGGGTTGCATTTCATATAAATGTTTTGTTTGTAAGCTTCTGGTATAGTTTTTTCATGGTTATCAACTAATTGTCTATGAAATTGGTTTATGCATGTCACTTACTTCCCTTTTCTATTTTTGGGTTAAGATGGTTTCTTTCAAAATTCTTAGGTTAGGTTTTTGTTTATTGCCTGCTTGTTTACTTTTGGCTCATTTTTCAATCCTTGGTGCCTTCTCAGTTTATGGGAGGAATGATGCAGGCCTAGCTTCTGGTGTTACATTAGTTGTTTCTTTGATTGTTTTGAAGCTCCCTTGTCCATTACTGGATACAGTTTCGAGTTTCACCTTAGAGTACTGATTCTTATTGGAAGGACTGGAGTGTTTTCTATTTCAAGCACATGGCTATGGGGATTTCATCTGCATTTATGCAGAAAGACCCCAAGATTTGACTACAATTTTGGTAACAGCTATCTTTGAGTGGTTGCTTATTTCTATGCTGTTCGTTGACAGCTAATTTTGGTAACAAAGTTTGCTTATTACTGTGGATTGCCAACACCCTACCTGACTCTTTTGACAGCAACATCAACATGGGTTTTACTCCAAGTCTACCAATTCAACTTCCTCACTTTGATTTAATACGTGGGCATGTTTATTGTTGCTTCGTTGTTCCTTTCAGGCAACTTGCTCAGGCTTTTTGGCAAGTAAGGGAGCTAAGCTCCCCTGCTTTCTAAAATCCCCTGTTCTTGTTCATTTTCTAGTACTTGTGTTGTGTAACGATTTTTGCATTTTAATTTGCTTTATTTTCAGAGAGCCTCCAGACTTGTCAAGAGTAGGAATTCTATTTTATATGTTTTGCATCATGTATAAATCCTTGGACCCTTTTCAACTCCTGTTTATTATGCTTAGACTTATTCCATTGATGAATTCTCTTTAACCTCTAATTATATATGTCAATCTCATTACTGAAAATTAATTGTCAGTGGTACACTTGTGATCAAATGTTCAAAGGGTATCAAAATTCAGAGGTTCATTGGACTATGCCATCTTTGGAGAAGGTAGAAAATTTGGTCATTTAGAACTTGTTTTTATCTACATTAATGGCAGTGATTAGAATTAATGAAACATATTTGGTAAGATTTGTGTTTGCGGAGTTTGATGTTAATTTTGCAAGTCTTGTAGAAGGGACTTGTTGTTGCTGATAATGCTACAGGGTAGGGGAATAGAACAACATGGAAACAAACAACTTTCGTTAATAAAGCATTTTAATTGGTTTTCTAGTTGAAATCGTTGTATAGAATTATAGGAAACAAAAAACTAAAATGTAACAGCTTGGGAACTTATTAGACGATGAATTTAAAGAAAATAAACGATGGTTTTATTGTAAAAAACGTCGTCTTTATATACAATCAATGATGTTTTTAACAAAATACGGTCGTCTTTTAACAAACAACCGTCGTCAATATTATATATAACAACGGTATTTAAAACTCGTCGTCTTTGCTAATAAATAACGACGCTTTTTAACAAAAAAACCATCATCTTTTCTAATAAACAACGATGGTTTGAGTAAAACCGTCGTCTTTACATCTAATAGACGACGGGAATTTACCGTCGTGGTTTTATGCATCAAAAGATGTCGGTCGATTTCACGACAGTTGAAAAACCGGATACACGATGGTGAATTGCCGTCGTCTATTGCGATTTTTTTAGTAGTGTGTGTTGGCACTAAAACTGAACATATAGAGATGAGTGCAACTTACAAGTGATGTGGACGATCTGGAGATCGATTGAGTGCTTGATGCAGATTCTTCCTGTCCTGGGATGCCGATCCTGAACCAAAGAAAGTTGAGGCCCATGAGGTCTATGGAACCGGTGTGAAACCAGTCTAAGACCCTCCGATGCCGAAGTAAGTTTATTTCTAAGAGCTTTTGCTACTGACAATGTATTTAGCATAAAAGTCAAGCTGAAAAGTCTTACCCCTTGTATTGTAGTGAAGGGGCCTATTTATAGAGGGCATTTGGTATGCTCTTAGTACTTAATTTCGATGTGGGACTCGTGGGAGGGCCCTACGAGTTTGACACGAGTCTTTGGATGTTTTGGGCGGGGCCTTCGAGGTTTGTTCCGCAGAATCGGTAAGCTATACCGATTGTAGAATCCGCTAGGCGTCATCGGTAGTCGATACCGATTGTTCGCTGCCTTAGACAATTGGGGAGTTTTACCAATCCACGTGTCACTGTATGAGTGGAGGGTCAGATATGGTACAAACAGTAGTCCCCCAAGTTACCGATTGAGAAGCCACTTCTTGGTTCGAGACTTGAATGTGTCTTCGGCATTCTGACCCGGACCCGATGGTCTCGTTCCTGCCTTCGTGGCTTGCTGATGGTGGTCAAGTAGTCCCCCAAGTGCCCGAGCGAGGGAGATTGGAAAAGAGACGGCAGAAGATGCCGAAAGGTGAGCGAAAACTCATTGATGTAAGCCTGCCGTTCGGCACGAGAGGCGAGTGAAAACTCATCAATGTGCGCCTGCCGTTCGGCACGAGAGGGGGGGGAAAACTCATCCGTTTCCCGATGCTAGGTTCGTCCTATAAATGTGAGGAAGGGATGATAGTTGGAATACTTGGAAGTTTTTTAGAGCAATCAGAGCTTGTGAGAGGCGATTTTCGGCGACTGTGCGAAGGCGTTGTAGGCGCTTTCCGGCGAACTTTATCAAGGCAGAGGCGATTTCCAACGAGGAGGAAACACCGTGTGAACAAGGTATGTTGCCGTGTTTCATTTTTTGATGACTCAAATCATCAATTTGTTGCATGAACATGTATTAATGTAGATGAACATGAAATTTTAGGGTTTATGATGAGTGTTTGATTCTAGCATGGCATTTAGTTTCCATTCGTTTGTGTTTGTAGATGTCAGATACTGAATCTGAGCGTAGTCGTAGTCCGAGGGCGTGCGAGGACGAATCATCCTCGGGAAGCTCCACCGAGGAGTGCAAGAGTGCCGATTCTATGAGCACTTCAAGTGTCGAAGTGATTGAAGTGGGTAGTGGTCAGCCTTCGACTTCGGGTCGTGGGATGGAGGCGACCAAGGCTGATGTCTCCATGGCTGCCCCTGGGGAGGGAGTGCTGTGCGTTGTCACGAGTAGACAACGAGTGCCGATGGCCAAGGCGAAGGGTCCAGTCTATGGAGTAGATCATTTAGAGCCGAATGTGCTAACCGAGGCTAAGTTATCCAAAATTCGGGCGCTGTACAACATACCGAATTCTGTGGTGATGCGGATTCCAATGCCGTTGGAGTCGCTGAGCAATCCTGAGAATAAGGTTTGCTTTTTCACCGATGTCTTTAAGCACGATCTTCGGCTGCCGTTGAGACATTCGGTGCAGAAGATCCTGGCTCAGATTGGGTATGCACCGGGGCAGTACAATCCGAACTTCTGGATTACTCTGCTCGGGACGATTACGGCCTTCGGCCTAGCTGGCGAGGGCAAACCGAGCTATGAGCAGTTCGCTAATCTGTACAACGTGACGAGGGCGAAAAGTGCTGATCAAGGGGGGTGGGTGCAGTCTAACTGCTTGGCAGCTTAGGAATCGGCACCTAACGTTATAGTTGAGAGGCACATTCCCACCACCTTCCAAACTGTCGATAGGCCGTAGGACACCGTTCGTAGTGTCTTTGAAACGGCCGACTGCGCCGAGGAGGGACGTGGAGGCGATCGAGGGAGTGAGAGGTAAGATTGTCGAAGAAGACCGTTTCTTCAAGACCTTGCTTGGTTATCGCAATCTTTACAAGGTAGGCTTGATCGGTAAGGCGGAGCACGACCGAAGAGAGAAAGAGGAGAAAGAGGAGGAAGAGAGAAGACAAAGTAAGTAATGCCGTTCGGCAGCATGCATGTTTTGTTTCTTTCTGGATGCCGTTTCTCATCTAAGTTTGTGGGTTGTATTGCAGTGGCAGGAGGGAGGCCAATGAGCGATGGGATGAGGAGGCGGCTGGAGACTCGTGCGCTTGCGCAGAAGAAGAAGAAGAAGGAGGGTGAATCCCCTCAACCGAAGACGAAGCCTCCTCGTTCCGCCGGAGGAGCTTCGGGAGACGAGACGACGGTGGCCGATCGTCTCAAGGAGAAAAGGGTGGCAGAGGCCGAGGCTGTTCGTGAGGTCCACCTCCAAGTGACGGGGAAGAGGTAGATCGAGGGTGCCCTCGACGTGACGCCATTGCCGAAAAGGCCGAGGGGACCGAACGAGGGAACATCCGTTCTGATTTCCGACGAGGAGGGAGAGGGGGAGGAGGGACCGGTGAACATTGCATGCCCTCGGAAGGCGGTGCCGTTCATCAACTGCATGATTGATGGCGCACAGATGGAGCTCTCGGAGCTAGAGCAGCTATCGGTGAAGACGGTGCGCGAGCAGACCGGACGAGCTTTCCGGCTTCAGGCTGCGGTAAGTGTCGTATGTTTGTGTTTCAATTGTTGGCGCGGTCGGCGCATATTAAACTGTTGTTATGTTGCAGGTTGACATGGAGATGTGGCTGTGCGTAAAGGGAGCTGTGAACGCTGCCGAACGGTACCAGAAGAAGTTCGAAGAGAGCCAAAGCAAGATTGCCGAAGCTGTTAAGCTCATCCAAGAAGCCGATCGTCGCGCCGAGGAGAATGCGGCGAAGATAGCGGAGCTCTCATCGAAGCTGGCGGCGGCTGAGTTGGAGGTGGTGGGAGCTCATGAGGCCAAGGCGGCAGTGGAGGTGGCAATGGATGCGGCCGAGCAGTCGCATGCCAAAGAGGTGGAAAAGGCTAAGGCAAAAGCCGTGGTTGACTACTGATCCTCGGAGGAGTTCACGGTGCTGCTAGATAAGGAGGTCATGGAGAAGTGTGACGACCTCATGTATCGATTCAAACGGTACAACGTAGACAAGAAGCTGAACCTAAACTTCCTCTGGGACCCGCCTCCACTGCCTGAAGGTGTAACCGAGGAAATGGTGGAGGCCTATAAGGGAGAAGATTCCGATGTTGATTCTGTCGATGAGACCGACTCCAGCAGTGAGGAGGAGGAGGGCCATCTAGTACCGGCCTCTGCCAGTGTGCCTGCTGCCGATGACCAGTGTCGCGCCTGCTGATGCTGATGATGTGACGACCGGTGCCGACCCCCCATCGGCTTAAGAGCTGATTTATTTGAATTTCTGTGGTTTCTTGTTTTTTGTTTGTGTAACCAATTTGGATTATGCCGATTGGCAGTTTTGCTAAGACAGATAGCCCTGTTGTGGCTTTTATCCAAGTTTATATTGATTCGGTTTCATTTTTAACTTTTGTATTCTAGTATCTGTGTGCGTGCCATATGTAGTATAATTCTGATACCGTGTTGCTGTTTATGGCACTGCTGTATGTATAGAATAAGAATTTTAAAAATTAATGCCGATTACAAAGGTGATGACCAAAGGTACAGTCACTTGTAGTAATATTTCAAGTGTTCGACGTTCTAGGGGTGATCGAGTGTTCGTCCATTGGAACCACGCAATCGGTATGTCATGGGGAGACAGGTTTTGGTGACCTCGTAAGGACCTTCCCAAGAAGGCCCAAGAGTTCCTTCGGAAGGATTCTTGGTTGCGAGGGAAACTTTGCGCAACACCCAGTCCCCCACCTGGAACGATCGGCGTTCAACGCGCAAGTCGTAGTACCGGGAGGTTCGTTGTTTGTATGCGGCATTCCGAAGCTGAGCCTGCAAACGGTGTTCCTCGATGAGATCAAGGTTTAGGGCAAGTAGCGTCTCATTTTGCTCCGGCGTATAGGATGTCGTTCGGCACGTAGGTGCGTTGATTTCGACCGGGACAATAACTTCGGTACGAAAGGCGAGGGAAAATGGAGTTTCGCCGGTCGACCGTCGGTAGGAAGTGTTGATGGCCCATAATGCCTCTAGGAGGAGATCGGGCCACGCGCCTTTAGCTGCGCCGAGCTTCTTTTCTAGCATCTTCTTTATGATCTT